TAAAACTAAGAGATCTAATATTAAAAATTACTTGCATTTTTTTGTACATCAGTATTTACAAGTCTCACCATGCTACTGAGCAGTGCCAGCCAATCCCGGAATTTTTCGTAGATTTTATTACCTTATATAAGCCACGTATGCCCTCTGCCTTGTATATCTTTATGAGAGCATCAAATATTCCTTTGTATTGCCGCTTTGATGGATCAACACCAGCATTATACTGTAGCACAAGTCGTGTCTTCGTTACCCATACTGGGTTTGTAATACAGAGAGTCATGACTCCTGAGAACAGATGGAAGTTAGACTGATTGTTATGCCAGCTCCAAAGCTTGCCCCAGTTTGTTCAATCCAGTGTAACACAGGCTTCTACAATGACAAAACTTATCCCACAAGAGTTCTCATATTACTTAAAACAGAGGAAGTTTATGCCTACCATTGTTCCCTCTCACTGCCTTCAAAGCTCACAGCCAAGTCCAACCTACTCCTGCAGGGGGTACTTTTGTAAAGCATATGAGTTATTGCATATTCTTAGTATATCTTTTTTTTTGCCTTACCTCTCCACTACAATCTGTAGCAGACAGGAAACATGAGTAAATTCCTAATGTACTCCTGATTATTCAAGTTATTCTTCAGGTATACTATTGTTCAAAATTTAATGGACACCTCAGCCACGAGAAACTTGTTTAATCACCCTGACAGGTTAACAGAAGCAACCTGTTGTAGCTTTACAGGTTATTGAAAATACAGTTGTAAAATAACCCATTACTATTTTTCACATCAAACAGCATGTCTTATATTTCATTAATAACTTTAATAACATAACATTAAATGAATACTCCAACAGCCTAATTAAAAAGTCTTCTCAATTGCCTAGGTCAAATATAATACAAAAGCATGTGCCAGAATATATGTTAGAAAAAACATATTAGAAGTCTTGCTGATAGAAATTGTATTTTTATTTTGGATCTTTAGTTTCTAAGAAAACTTGGACCATAAAGATTTTCAAATGATCAATTCACTTATTCTATTAACTTCAGTAGGCCTTCTCTTTTCCAGGTTTAAGAGTTAAACATTAAATGAGTTAACAAGCTGATAGTAGCAGATTTACAGTTATATTTTGGGACTCAATATAGTACTAAATACAAAAAACACTTCGCTTATACACAATGAAAACAAAGTCAGAAGGTAGCTGACAGAAGAAAGAAAGACAACTACTTCTGAGCAAAACTGAAAAAACCACAGTCATCCAACTATTGATTGCAGACATCATTAATTTATCTACAGACAATAAGTGATCACATTTGGACTTGAACACTCACACTTACCACCTGTAAAAAAAAAGCAGCACTGACACACAAAGGCAGGGAGCAGCATATGGAAAGGCTAGAAGCAAACATTAATCTTCTTTGCATTTAAACTCACCTGCCTCTGCAGCTGACACTAGGTGTTCGGTTGCACTGAGACTTTCCAGCTTCCCTTCCTTCTTGTAAGCTTTGATAGCGTTGTAACTGGAAAAGATAAAATATATTTGGTAAGGGTGAAAACAAATCTACATCACTAAAAAAACTCCAAAACAAGTGGAGGTGGTACAAAACATTTGAAAACAGGTATTTAATCAAGCTATCTTTGCTTAGTTGATTAATTGATTTTGAGCAGTTAGCTCTTTAAAGCAAACTATGGTAATACATACTTAAATTGACAAAGTATTCCCATCAATATCAATGAGACTGCATTTTCAAACAGCTACTTGATCTCAAGAATTGACTTCTAAAAGAAAATTAATAGATTGCCTTCTTTTCACTGAGAGCCACAGTGACAGGTATCTATCTTCTAGCTCAGAAATACACTGAGCTTTCTTCTCTTGATCAGTTTCCAGTCTTTGTGGATTGAGAAACTGTCAACAGGAGCTGAACCATCAATAGGAACCTATAGGAAAGCTTGAGGACTGAAGTCCAACAGTGACAGAGTCCAGAAAACTGAGAAGTGAGGTTTGCATAGGCATACCAACTAACCATTCCCTAAAGTGTTCAATTAATAGGGATCAGCAGTACATCAGGTCACAGTTACACAGCTAATAAAGTAAAAAGATTGAGTATTAAGAAATGGGCTTTATTAGCAAAGCCCATCAACTCACAAAAACAATGAAAGAACCAACTGTTAAACATTTAGCTTCAGCAGAAAACTTTCATCATGTTCTTTAATTCTTAACACGTCAGTTTAGGCTTTTATTTTTGTGAGGTTTTAAGCACAGTATATAGGCACTTTCAGAAGATTCTTCATGACTGATGTCATCATTTCTCAAGTTCCTTAGTATTTTCGCAGCATCCAGGGAATGCACTGTACTTGACAAAGTTACAGGCCTCTTACATAAATTGCTTAAATTCTGTAACACCAAACCATAATAAGGGTAACAGGCCTGCAGTTACTAAAAGAACCACAACGTGGCACATTTTTATACCCCCTAAAGAAGATGTAGTGTATATATGAATGTTATATTGCACAGGATATGACACATTGTACAGGTCTACTTACAAGAAAAAGTAAAGTCCCCAGGAAGCCCCAGCTCCCAACATATTTGGTGTTACCCCTTGATATAAGCCTCGTAGTCCTTCATGCTTCCAGACAGTGGTCATACAGTGGAGAATCCCATTGTATTTTGGCCTCAGCTCCAATCCATCGCTTACTATGAGAGAAAGAAATTATACTAAAAAAAATTTCAGGAAGCATTAAGTTCAGCTCTGTAAAAGCCACCACAGAAGTACACAGCCTCCAAAGCAAGCTGCAAATGAAAAGGAAAACCTAACTGATCAACTGCATTTTAAAAGTATGCAAGAATCAGCAATTATGGCTTCATAAGTCTAGAGTTAAAGAACTTAAAAAAAAAGGAAAGATAAACAACAACAGCAACAAAAAATTTCTAAGCTCTGCAAGAGGCAAGTTCCCATCAATCTGACAAGGCTAATGAACTGCACTGCTGTGTATTTTTGGTGATAAGCAACTTTGAAGTTTTTTGTTTCTCCCAGCAATTTCACATCAAGTGATACGTGTGGGGTCTTTAACAACACATTTCTATAAGGAGTTTAGACAAGTCCCAAATAACAACTCTTGAATTCAGTATTCCTCTTTAAAATGTTCTATAAAGATCTGAATATTTTCAACAGGTCACGTCTTATTGATTACAAAGTCAGATTTAACAAAACGCTCAAAGGTTATTTCAACAAAAATTTTGTGTTCTCCTTCTATTCTCATTGAATGCATCTGCAGGAAAAAGACCCAAAACTTCTCCCACTCAATAACCAAACAGTTGTCAAAATATTCAGAAAATATCACTGTCAAAAAGATAAAAAATTGTCAGTTTTTGTTTGGCACATTTCATTTAGAACACAAATATTTGTGCAACTTATAGTGGTAACTATTATTGCTCTTACCATAACAGCAAGAGAGTAAATTGGTAAAATAACATGTGTGATACCTCTTGTCATCTCACCATGTGCTGTGACAGACACAGGCTGGGACAGAGGGAATTTTGACCAGAACCTTTTCTCCATCAGAGTGGTCAAATACTGGGAAATGTTGTCTGAAGAGGCACCTTTGGAGCTACTCAGAACTCTAGCAGACAGAGAGTCTGCTCAGAGAGCAATTTGACCTTGGCATACCCTACCTGGGTAGGGGGTGAACTCCACAGATCTCTCCTGACCTAAATCACTCTATGATGCAGCATAGCAGCAGCTTTCATTCTTAATATAGACCTAAGGGTAGACTGCAATTTTACTGAAAATGAATCTCAAAGTTTTACAGTCAGCATAGTTTTTGTGTCCCCATCAAGATTAATCCTGGTAATAATGAATGTTTTCTGTTCAATGCCACATGTATTATTCATTCACCTCTGAACTTTGTGTACATACAGTCTTTACTTCAGGACTAAAGAGCAAATGCTTTTTCTAAGCACGTTGTGACAAGGCCTCAACACTTTGGCAATCACTCAAAACTTGAATACAAATTAAATGCCTCTTTTCTCTCCCCTGAATGAGCACTGCTAGACTTTTCCCAAAGACTTTTCTGATCTTTTTACCCTGCTGCCATTAAATCAGGTTTGAAAACATATTAAACACGGTGGGAAATCAGAGACATGAATGCAAGTCTGTCTGCCAAAGATGCTTCTGAGAGTCTTCACAACATGGATTTCTGATCTCTTATTTCCTGATTGAAGACAAAATATAGGAATGGTTATTTTCAACCCAACAAGCATGTGAAATTATCTCTTTCTTTCTCTCTGTACAGTCTGACTAAAAAGCTACCTGGATGTAAGGCAGAGTAAGTTTAACATTGGAGTACCAGCAAGTAACTTTGGTATAGTTCAAAAACAGACCAGCGCAGCCTCCAGTAATGGAAAGAAAGGGCTGTTAATCACACTCACATGTAACAGAGAAGAGCAGCCTGCATTCTTAAAGGACATCTAAATTCCAAGCATATCAGCATCTTACTCTCTTCAGTGCCAAAAAGTATTTTCTCTAGGTATCAAGAATCAACACCTGAGCTACTCTGTTAACAGACAGACATCAAATCTCAATGATTCGGAACAAGCTTTTGTAAAAAAAGCCATGAGTGTTGGTGAGTCCAACCAAAACCTGACAGATGGAAATTAGGAACAAAACTGAAACCATCACATAGAATCATAATTTAGGCTGCAGTGATCACCAGAGGTCATCCAATCTAACCTCCTGCTCAAAAGAGATCTAATCCCTAACGTTCTGTGATTCTGTGATAATTACATCAGGTTATGCAGGGCCATGTCTAGTCGGTTCCTGAACATTTCCAAGGCTGAGGAGATTATAGCCTGTCTGGGTAACTGCTTCCAGTATTTGACCACTCCCAGAGTAAAAATCCTTTCTTGTAACAAATAATGGGAATTTTCTGTGTTCCTGCTTGTGCCTGTTCTCTCTTGCCCTACAACTGTTTGCTTTCAAGAAGAATCTGTCTGCACCTTATCTCCGTCTAGCCACAGACTGCAATAGTATCTCCCCCCAGCCTTCTCTTCTTGAGGCTGAACCAATCCTGCTCTGTCACTGTCCTGTGTCACATGCTCCAGCACCTTCACCAGCCTGGTGGCCTCCACTGGAACCACACCAGTATGCCAACATCATCCTTCTAGTGCTGAAACCCAGACTAGACACAGTACTTCAGACAAGTGCAAAGTAGAGAGAAAGTATCACTTCTGTTATCTATGCCCCTCATAACACACCTCAGGATGTGCCTGCACTAGGATATACACGAAGATGCTTAAATCCAACTTTGCAAAAAGTCTGCTTCAAAACGTAACGCTTCAAATTTTGTAAAACTTCTCTGTTCACTGCTTGTCTTAGGTATCTTAAACACCCATGCACGCATTTAAGATAGCAAGCCAAAGACACAGCAAAATGTCTCAACTTCTATAAAAGAGAATATGATAAAAGGGCAACGTGTTTCATATATTACCAGCAAAATCACTAGGAAGAAGCTGACATGCTTCCCTGTGGAAAAACAAACAAGTCGAGTTCTCTGCAAAACATGACTGCTACTGCCAACAACCAGGATTACTGTAAAACCATTGTTATGCTTTCACTGTTGAAAACCTTTGGCATAAAGGTGAACTTTGAACGTTGGCTTGGGACAGTCCATCTGCTAATAACGTACAGTCTCACTGTGTTTTATGGTGATCGTGAAAGGGAAAGCCTGGTCAGCCCTAATCTGCCTGACCACAGCCTGGGGCACACCGCACGCTTCACAGTCCCCAGAAATGACAGGAGACCAAACAGCTCAAGCCTGTCTGTCACTGCTGGCTTAAGGCCTGCTTATTGCAAGCCCTGAGGCCACCCCGCCAGCGGCACGCAAGCTTGGGCAAAACCATGCAGGCTCACCCGGCTGTACCAGAAGCCGGCCCGTCACCGCTCGGGAGCGGCGGGCTCCGCACAGAGCACCGCCTGTCCGAGCAGCCCACAGCGGGGAGCTCTGTGGGGTCGGGAGGGGGAATCGGGCCCGGGGACTTTCCCTGGCCGCACACCCCACCACCCCGGCAGGGGCGCCCTGGCTCGGTGCGGG